GCCAGGCTCCCAGGCGGGGCCAGGCCGGGGCCCCGGGCCTCCCGCTGTCGCTAGTACATAGACGCCCAGCACGGGCTGTCGGTGCCTTTGCAGCTTTGCCCAGAGCAGGAGGATCCCAAAGTGCCCCCGACCAAGGCTCCAGGGAGATCTAGTGCTCAGGGTCCTGTTATTCCCCGAGTCCTGCCCGAGAGAGGGAAAGCTGGCGTTGACTGACTCATTCTCACCTTTCATTCATTACTGTTATTCATTCATTCATTCAAATCAGTAACTATACGCACCTCACGTGTCCTTTAAAAAATATCTCACAATCAGGGACCAAATTGTCTCTTAACTACTTCCTGCCAACATTGGATGACAAAACCTTCAACTGAAAAAAAAAACACGTAGAAAATGTTTCCTACAACAGCTGTAACGGAATCCATGGGGGGGGGGACATGGGGTGAATCGCTTTCCTTGGTTCATTCTGAGGCAGCGAGTAGCATTACAAGGTTCCTTCTAACGCAGAGACCTTTTCTGTGGGTGAATTCAAGGGGGAAGAATGACCACCACCAGCAGCCCTCACAATCCACAGAGCACCGTGGACCTGGGCGCCCAGTACATCACGCGCACGCCCCACTATGCCCAAAAGCACCAAAGGTGAGCTCTTGCGGGGTGGAATTTGCTGTATGAGGTGAAAACATACTGTAAACCACCCGTTTTTGACAGGGTTAAACTTTGCTTCTTGTAGGATAGTGACATTATTATGCTATTGTCATTTTCATGGTATTAGCAGTAAGAGGTTTACCTAAGTAACATGGGAAAACTGTAATACGTGCCCCTAGTGTCCTTGCGAAGTTCAGATGAGATGTTCCATGCGACACAGTAAGGGCTCGTGAATGTGAATCACTATGCTGGTGTTGAGGAAGAGGACAAGATAGCAGTGATGGAAGTCAATCGTGACCAATTTGAAACGGTTGTACGGAATACCTTTCTGTTTATCCTTACTGACATTATTTTTGAAATGGACAAGAAAATAGGCCTTTGCTTAATGTCAGCAAAAGATTTATGGCTTCTCAAGACATTTCTGTTCTTCACCTGAATTGCAAATGTTATTAACACAAAACATGTTGACTTGACCATAGGACAACATCTAATTATTATTTAGTATTATAATCTCTAAGAATTCTTGCAAGAGAATACGGTATGTTAGAGCTGATTATAGAATACCATTATGTAATATATGTTGATTTATTTCAGTTTTTATGATGAACTGCTAGCTCATGGCATTTTGAAGCCTCTGACCTCTCCTATTGAAGGCACGGTGATGAAAGCAGGAGACTGTAACTTTGTGGCACCTCAAGGAGTTTCTTCAATTATTAAGCATTACTTGAAAGAATCAGGTGGGATTAGGATTTTCTTGCCTTCCTTTAAATTAGCACTTTAAAACAAAAGTCATACACATAATCAGATATTCATACTTCAAAGAAAGGTATAAAGTAGATGTTCTCTTATTCATCACTCAATAGCTAGTTTCCTTCAGCTAAAGTAACCCACTAATAACAGTTCCCAAGGTGTGCTTCCAGAGAAATGTTTATACAGCTATCAATCTACATGGCTGTCTCTATTTTCTATTCATATAGGTTTATATTTATCCTTTTTAAAAATACACATGGGATTTTTTACATAAGCCGTTCTATACCATGTTTGGTCTATGTTTATAATAAATCTATCTATCTATCTATCTATCTATCTATCTATCTATTCTTTCTCTCTCTCTCAAGCAGTACATTTAGTTAGAAATTGTTCACATCTCTTCAGGTGTCATCTGATCAGTTCTGAACTGCTGTTCCCTAAAACCTATTTGTAGGAAATTATAGTCGGAAAATGAATTTAAATTTTCTCTTTAAAATGGAGGAAGGCAGGGGATTAAGTTAAATAAATACATAACAGAAACACATTTGTTTTTATAAAATGTTTAAACCTTCATATTCTGATACATTTATTGCTATCTGCATATTTTTAAAAAATTTATTAAATATTATGTGCTGGGTAAACAGTGGTAAATAAGAGATGTGGTTCCTGCCTTTGTTAATATAGAGTGAGGTAGAGAGGAAAGATGTTAAATTAATTACATATACACACAAAACACGTAATAAATGCTAAGAAGGAGTGAGAGCATATGAGGGAGTGTATAATAAGAAGGCCTAACCTAATGTGAGTTTCAGAGGAGTGAGAGGGGGGAGATATGTCAGAGAAAGTGTCACTGAGGATCTAATGTCTTCATGGTATCCCAAAGGTAAGCACCAGTGAACTAGGCCAAGAGCTGATGGTGATAATGGCATGCAGTGGACACATGAGTTAGAACTGTTCTAATGTAGGAGCAAGTTGGTGCATTTGAGGAACTAAAAGGTCATGATGACTAGAGAGTAGTGAATGAGGGAGAAAGTGCTAAGAGATGAAGTTCAAGACTAAGACAGATCATAAGGGGCTTTGTAAGTAATGTTAAATATTTTATACTCTATCTTATATGCAGTGGGAAGCCATCGAAGAATATTACACAAGAGACAGACATGGTCAGATTTCCTAAGCTCAGAAGTAACTCTTGAGAGATTTTATGTAATTCTCTAACTGTTTTAAAATGAGAGTTTCCAGAGCCCACAGATTTTAATATGTAGTCCTTTGGAAAGTTAGTAATTACTTCCATAAGGAAAAACTACTTTCCCAGAAACTTCACTCCCAGTAGTAGGAAAGGAGAACTTCTTGGTTTGTAAGAATGGTTATGCTATCACCCCCTAACTCTTGAGATAGATACTCCTTTTGGGGTGATTTTGCCCATTGTGGTGTTGAATTTGGGCCTGTCATCTACGCCAAGGGTTCTCACACTTCAGTGTGCATCATTAAGCCTGTGGGGGGAAGAGGGGGATATGTTTAATATAGAGTGCTGGGCCTGATCCCCAGAGATTCTGATAACAGGTCTGGGTTGGGGCCTGAGAATGTACATTTCTAACAAGTTCCCAAGTGCAGAACACGTTAGGGCCATTGGGATACAGGTCCAAGGCTGGATATGCAGAATTTCTAGGTCAGTGGACTTCAGTTCCCTTACGCACACATATATTCACCAGCACCAATAACAAAGTATGCTCCTGTCAAAGGGAATATTATGTGAAGACACAACTGAATAAAATGTAAAATCCGTTGACTTCATTGAGGTCCAGGTCAGGCAGGACCAGGACCAGAGCGAGGCAAGTAAGTTGGAGGTGAGACATCCTAAATAAATAGAACAGATTGAAATGGAGCTGCTCTGGTTGGAGTAAAGGAGATGATGGTTGCTGAGTTGAAAGCTCCGGCTTTTGTGCCTTCCTAAGCAGGGGCCTTAGAGAAATCTCCAGGCAAGCTGAGGTATTGTTTACAAGCCCTTGCTCTAATCTTTGAACAGAATGGTGCTAATTTGCATTTGCTTTAAAAATTTGAGTTTTTACTATATTGCAGCATTATTTAAGGGACAGTGAAAGATGTAAGGATATATGAGATCTGGAGACCTGACATGGAGAAGCCTAGAAGGTTTCTGGGTAGAGAAGACATACCTGTAGCAAACAGAAATTTTGAATGAGTGGTAAAAGCAGTGATGATCAAAGGATGTCTTACATGAGAAGGATCACCTTGAGTTGGAATAGCTACAAAAAGGAAGTTTCATGGCCAAGGTTGGACTTAAACACGTATTTCTTGGCTGGTAGAGGTTTCCCTTTCAGGGTGCTGTTTTTCTCATTATATTTTTCACATCTTTCCTTTCTGTTCCTGAGGCTGAAAAAGAGTGAATTTGTTTTTAAATCTAAATTTTCTGAAAACTGGAATGTGAAGTGAATGCTAGTGTACCAAAGAGACTTACTGATTTAATTATATTCCATCTTTCAGTTTCTGATTCATAATTCATTCTCTTAAACCAGTGATTTTCAACCAGTATGCCACAAGATTTTTTTTTTTAAACATGCAATTCCTGATTATTTGGTCAGGGGCACTGACCTCTTTTTCCTTAGATTGTCAAATAAAGAAATGACAACAGCCAACACAACAACAGCCGTCTTATGTGAATTAATCAAAATTATACCTGTAATTTTTTTTTTCAGATTGGTAAAAATATTTTTTTTCTGGTATGCTACAGAATTTCAGTAATTAGTGCATAAGATGAAAAAGGTTGAAAATCACCATCTTAGCCCTAGCTGGTTTGGCTCAGTGGACAGAGCGTCAGCCTGCAGACTGAAGGGTCCCAGGTTCAATTCTGGTCACAGGCACATGCCCGGGTTGCGGGTTTGATCCCCAGTAGGGGGTGTGCAGGAGGCAGCTGATCAATGATTCTCTCTCATCATTGATGTTTCTATCTCTTTCTCCTTCTCCCTTCCTCTCTGAAATCAATAAGAATATATTTTTTTAAAAAAGAAAATCACCATCTTAAATAAATATTGATTAAACACTAGTGTGTGCCAAGTACTATCCTATATATGCTATATGCTATATGTTGAAACAAAACAGCCTTAATTACTGAATAAAAGGGAAGAAAATATTAATCGAATAATTACTCTAAGAATTATTAAAATACCTTTGTGACAAGTGTAAAGAAGGAACATGCAATGAGAGGATATTCTAGATTGTATTTCTCTTAACTCTTCTTAATGAAGATAATCGATCCATTGATGAGTACTTGGATTTCTCTTACAAAGACCTTTTTCAGGTTTAATAGAGAACAATACTTCCTTTAATAGGTAGTGGTGCTCTTTCTTGCTGTTATTAGAAGAATTAACACCTTTACTAACATATATACTTGCTCTACAATGATAATGAGCTGAAAGTCAGAGGGATGCAGCTTCAAATTATGGTATGCCATTTCTGAATCTGTTTCCTTATCTGTCAAATTAATTGGTATGTATATTACGTGCTTGGCATAGTCTTGACATATAGTAGATGCTTAATAAAAAAATAGCTATGGTTACTATCCTTATTAATTGTAATAGTATTTCCCACCCCACACACACTCAGAATGGACATTGATAGGCAGGTCCAAGTGTGACAGATGGAGAGGAATTCCCCCGAAGCGAGAAAGAAAGGGAACCCCAGGGGCTGTAGAGGACAAACTGCACCATTCATTCACCTGAATGGATCCAGTAGGCAGCCCTTCTCTCCCCATTTATTCCTATGGGAAAGTCTGCTAATGTGAACATGACTTTGCTCTTGGAACAGGTGCTGCTATCTGTTTCAGACAATGTGTGACCCAGATCAACCTGAGAAATGACAAGTGGGAAGTCTCCAAGGAAACGGGCTCCCCTGAGCAGTTTGACATTGTTGTGCTCACGATGCCGGTTCCTCAGATTCTGCTGCTTCAAGGTGACATCGTGAACTGTGAGTCTCCGCCTGTGCTGTTTGTTTACCTTGGGGAATGGGATATTTTTTTTTTGAAAGAGCAAGAATTCAGCTTAACTCTCTTAGCAAAGGGTATATATGGATCCTACTGATTTGCATGTTTTATAAACTGATACAATGGCCTGGTTCACAGTATTAGTCTTGGTCAAACAGAAACACATAACGGAATTTTTTTCCTTAACCAGTTAAGAGTTGAACGCTTTTCTTACTGCTCCTGCCTCTGAGAAGTAAATCATTTTGATGGATGCTCAGTAGTTTAGCCTACAAGAAGAGCAACCTCTTTGTGAGCTCCTGAGAAAAGGTTTTTCTGACACAAGCATTGATTATGTGAACCCCTGGCGAACCTCATCTCGGATTGCTCTTGAGGAAGAGCCTCATGTTCCTCCCTGCTTGGGATTTGTTGGCTCACCTTTTACCTAGCTTCTCCCCTCTTTTTATAAAAGCAGCTTTAAGATATAATTCACATTCCATACAATTCATTCATTTAAAATGTACATTTCAATGCTATTTAATATGTTCACCAATATATGCAACTATTCCCATCCCCAATTTTGGACCATTTTAATCATCCCCCAAAAGAAACCCCATATCCTAAAGCTATCACCTGTGTCCCTCCATCCCCATCCCTGGCCCTAACCCTAAACACGCTGCCATCTACTTTCTGTCTCCATAGATTTCCCCGTTGCCTAGGTTCTTAAGGAATGCTCTTCTATGGTTCGCTTGGCCTCCACCTATGTCAGGTTTCACTAATTTTTCTCCTTTCATTTTGTCTAATTGAGCCTGACACGTCAAAGCCATTGGCTTCTAGAGGACACCTCATCTTGCCTTGAAGCCCATGAGTTAAAATAAGGCAGAGCCTGGCGCTGCTGGCAAGGTCTTGGGTCATGTGGGAATGGCTGTGGATATTGACGTGCCTGGAGCTTTTGACTTGTTGCTTGACTAAAGGTGACATTGAATTTGATTGAGGAATGGCCTTTTATGCCACTATTAGAAAGAAAACTGGTATTAAATATAATTTATAGATCAGAGATTTAGAACTGTAATAGAAATTGTTCTCTGAGGAAGAAAATTGCTGCTTATTACATCTTGAAAGTAATTTGCTGTTCCTTAAATATCAGTTCCACCACCCAGTAACAATATAGTTTCTTTTCTAGTACAGTGTGAGGTAATAATATAGAAGGGATTGAGATATCTATTATGTAGCTATAGGCAAATTAGAACACTCATGTCAAAGATCTCTGTCATGAGTCTACTTCTAGTCTGTTGCCAAAGTCACTTTAAAGTAGGATAATTTATTGCCATGGAGTCTGTAATAACTGGATTGATTTCAGGACTGTTAAATAACATATTGCAACATTTTACTAAAACAGTTATTGGTCAGTGTATTCAGTTGTGCTGCAAATTACATACTCCAATTTCTTTTTTAATTCTCATCGAGGACATTTTCATTGATTTTTTTTTAAGAGAGAGAGAGAGAGAGAGAGGTCAGAGAAACATGATCAGTTGCCTCTCCCACTCGCCCCAACCTGGGGTTGAACCTGAAACCTATTTATGTGCCCTGATCAGGAGTCGAACCCACAACCTTTGGCGTACAGGACAACACTCCTATCAACTGAGCCACACTGACCAGGGCTACATATTTCAGTTTTTAAAAGCTACATAGAGAGATCCTTCAACAATTCATTTTGAAAGTATTCATCAATATTTGTATTAGTGACATATAAAACATAACACCTGAGATATGTTTAAGGGCCTTCCAAAAATAAATTTATTTAGATCATGTGTGTGTGTGTGTGTGTGTATATATATATATATTTTTTTTAATTAATTTTTTTTTTGAGTACTTGAACTGTATTGGGCTGAGAGAGAGAACTTAATCCTCCTACTAGTATTGCATTTCTTTTTATCTTTCTGGGGTTGGGGGGCAATTTTTTGGAGGCACCTTTATTCACTCATCTTTGAGTCTAGTAATTTCATAAAGATATATAATAGTTTTGTGTCACCTTTGCAGGGGCGTGTTATCCCATTTTTTACTTGAAAATTCAGCTTTCCCTTTATTTTCAGCTAAGTTTTCTTCTAATACTTGAGGAATTATTTCTGGTCCATTTATTATGATCTCAGAATATCTTAAAAAATATAAAGCATCTCCCTCCCATATCTGCCATTTTGTCTCAACTCATTTTCATCTTTGGTCTTTGCATTATTTTTTTAACTTTCTTTTTCTAGCCTTCTCTCCATGTCATCCATGTAGTTTTCAAAAGTGTTCCTTTTGTTCCCTTCCTTGAGATACTCTTTCAAAGAGGTCTTACAATTCTTCACTGTTTTCATGTCGTTGCTTGAGGGTTTGTTGAACTATTCTGCTTTCTGGCAAAATTTTTCTAATATATATTTCTCATCAGTTCATTTGTTAGGTTCTGTTATGTTTTGTTGTCTTTCTCCATTTCTCTGCATAGGTCCCTCTCTAATCACTAGTTATCTTTAAATGGACCTATTTCTGTCAATTTTGTGAAGAATACTGTTGTCCGGAAGGGCAGACATTCAGTTAAAGTATGTTGCCTCAAAACACTGTCTGTATACATTTTGTATATATTTACCTGTGGGTGATTGAATGCTAGTGATTACTAATATGATAATATATTTATTAATATGAAAGATTTCAAAATTTTTTAAACTTAAAAATAAAAAAGATGCATCTATATTTTTCAATCAACCAAAAATAGTTTGACAGAAACATTTTTACATTGGTTATTGCTTAAGATGATTTTTAGATTTCTTACATTTTTTGAATAGTCATAACTTTAAAAATGAGGATACTTTAGTCTTACTATTAAAAAGGATAATGCTGACAACATCTGAAAAAATGTATCATGCAGAAAAAAAAACATTTTTTTCCTCTTTTCTTTTTTTAGTGGAGGAATAAGATGGAATATGTAGACTTTTTATGATGAAAAGTTTAAGCATGACTGACTTGGTACATTTGATTGATGGAATGGTTTTGGGGGTGCTGTATTGTCTCAATTAGAATTGGACCCCATGCAAATCATTCTGTGTTTACTTTCTTGTTATGAAATAACCCACTCTGCCAGTAACCCCTTAATACAGTGGTTCTCAACCTTCTGGCCCTTTAAATACAGTTCCTCATGTTGTGACCCAACCATAAAATTATTTTCATTGCTACTTCATAACTGTAATGTTGCTACTGTTATGAATTGTAATGTAAATATCTGATATGCAGGATGGTCTTAAGCGACCCCTGTGAAAGGGTCGTTCGACCACCAAAGGGGTCGCGACCCACAGGTTGAGAACCGCTGCCTTAACAGAATGTCCTAACAATTCTGACACAATACCTGTGGGTCTAAAACAAAGAGGTTAAAAACATCTGCTTTCTCTTTATAAGTTTCAATCATGACCTCAGTATGAGGAATGAGCTAATCTCTTTTCTCTGTGTGTGTGGAGAACTTTAAATCTCTTGAGTATGTATTAAACATTTTCAGTTTCTATGAAGAGACATCCATTTACAAAGCTATATGTTGCCCTCTAGTGGATATCTGTATATATTGCAGTTCCTGTCTGAATTTTTACTGGAGAGGACTATGAAGATGACTGAAATATCAAATATATATAAAACTATCACTATAATATAATTCACAAAACCCCATATTATTACAGGGAAACAAATTTAGGCCCATTCTAACTAATTTACATAAAATTGTTCAGTATCATTTTTCTTCTAATATTATGTATTTTTTCCATTTCAATTGTATTTTATAATTAATGGAGTTTATTGATGAAAAATTTGCAAGTAAAAGTAAAATAAAATATAGTCATAATTGTAGCTTCATAGACATTAACCCAGTAAACACATATTTCTAGAGATTTTTAAAGGTAGAAATAAAAATATTTTTTTCTGTTTTCAAACTTTATAATATTTTAGGAATATCTTTCCAATGTCAATGAATGTTCATGGGTGTCATGATTTTTACTGCATACTGTTCTATTATCTGGATCTACCTTGAAGTATTAAAGCAGTTGGATAGATATGTTAGGTTTCCAGTTTTATCAAGTATTGCTTTGCGAGTGCAAAGCTGAAACAGGTTTTCTTCCCCAAGCGCCTTTCCTCAGGGCAAGCTATTTTGCTATAGAAGAAGGCCCTCTTGGTGACTTTTGTCTTAAGTTTTCTTAAATCATCTATGTTTTCTTTCTTTCTGTGTGTTCTGTAATCAGGTTTCATTAAAAGTTCCTGTTGAAATATTGATTTGAATTACATTTAAAGTGTTAATTTAGGGAGACTTAATGTCTTTACAATAGTGCACCCTCATCCAAGAAAATCAAACAATTCTTCATTGATGTAGGTATTTCTATGTCCTTCAGTACACTTTTGTAGCTTTTAATCTTAAGATCCTACAAATCTCTTATTAGCCTTATTATATAATCATTTATGGTATTTGTGGAGACTGTGAATAATGCCCCTTTTGTTATCTTATGTTTACTTATATGTTTTCAGAGAATACCACCCAGCTGAGTTTCTAAACCCAACATGGAAAGTCTGTTTCTTTTGATAGGGGAATTCAACCTATTTATTGCAAAAACTACTATCTTTCTTCAATCTTTCCATTGATGTCTATTATTTATTTTACTTTTTTTTTCTCCCACTCTTTTACATTTTCTTCTATTTGTCAACTTTATCAAGTATCACAATCTTAATTAATGAATGACTTAATTCACTGTGTAAGGTGTGTCCTTTGTGGTAGGATATAAAGTGCATGAAGACAGGAACTAGCCCTGACTTACCTGTCCCTGTTTTCTCAGGATTCCTTTATGAGTGTCTCATGTATGGTAGGCCTTTGGTCTCTATTTACTGAATGAATGAATGAATGAATGAATGACACAATCTGAAATCTCGAAGGACAGGCAGAAGAAAAGGAAGGAATACTTTGGAGAGGAAAAAGGATCTTAGCAAAAAATTGGAAATAGATATG